TCCTGGACTCTTTCATATCTCAGACTGAAACTCTTTCGTCGTTGGACACTGACTCCCCATTCCATCCCCACCTCTGGAACCACCATCCTACTCTGTCTCTATGTGTCTAACAACTCTAGGAACCTCATAGGAGTGGAATCATGTAAGAACTGTCTTTTGTTCTTGGCTTATTTCACTGAACGTAATGTCTTCAAGGTCCATTCATGCTGCAGCAGATGTCAGAGTTCTTCCTTTCTTTTTATGCTGAAGTAATAGTCCATCATCTGGATGGAACATGCTTTATTCATCCATTCATTTCTCCATGGACATTTGTTTTCTTTCACCTTTTGCCTGCTGTGTAGAGTGCTGCTATGGACACAGGTGTGTGAATATCTGTTTGAGATCCTGCTTTCAATTCTTCTAGTTATACAGTAACTCTAATTTATAAGAGAATGTTATTCTGTTTTCTGCAACAAGCACAGTACTATATATTCCCGTAATAGATACATGATTCTGATCTCTCTATATCCTTGTTATTCTCTGTTTTTATGATGGTGGCCACCCTCCTGGAAGTGAAGTGCTGATGTACATTTCCTTAATGATGACTGGAATTGAGAACCTTTTTGTATGCCATCTGTGTATCTTTTCCTAAATTGTAGAAGTCCACCATATATTTGGATATTAGCTTCTTGCTATATACATAGTTTGCAAATATTTTCTCCCATTCCATAGACTGCCTTTTTACTTCTATCTTTTAATGCAGTTCACAAGTGAATGCCTGTGCTGAGCAGATTAATAGTTTGACATTCAGAGCAATGTATAATATTCATTCTAGGTACCATCTCTCACTGAAAGCAACAACTTTAAGTTCAAGTCCTGAGCAGTGGCAGCAGGGAAGAATCCTGATATTATCCTCATTCTGAAGTTATAATTCTGTACTATGGAAATCTACAAACCAGGATAACATATAAAAATAACATAGGGAGAATATGAATTGTATTGTGAAATAGGCTCCAGTTTTTAGCTCTGTAAAATTTGTGCAGACAGCAACAAAGATGTTGAGATTGAACCCTGTGGGCACTTGATGTACCTCCCTTACCTTATAGCATGGCAGGAGCTAGATGGCCAACTTTACAGTTTCTATTGTGGCAAAATAAAAGGAACTGAGCCCATAATCATGAGCCTCTCCTTGTCCCACCAATGCTTGACGTAAACAATGATGTGAAAGTGTAACTCACCAGGCATATCACCAGGATAGTCTCTCCTCTTTCAGAGAAGAAAGCCCAGCCGGTCCTTTCTGGGAAGATCCCATGTCTCAGCCTATAACCAATGCCTTCTCACTTGGGCATAGTCTACTCTCCCTGTGGCAGCCCAACTAGTTCACTAAAATCTTCTTGCATGAGAAAACAAGACAAGTCACTCCCAGCACCTTGTGGTGAAGGAAATTTGGCTTCCATCCACACCAGTACTAGCTCTGATGAGTCAGAGAAGGTCTGGCCGTTTTCCTATTGTCCCACTTGAGAGTTCACCCTTGGTTGAGAAACAGAATTTCTGGCACTTCTGGCATCAAAAAGCTGTCTTGCAGTTTTGTCAATTAATTACCAAACATTGTGCCTGTGGGCTTAAAGTAGGAGTGTCATCCCATGAGCCTTGTATCAGCCAATTACCTTTGACAAAGTGAAAAGTCAGTTCTCCTTCTCGTAATGACTTCTAGCTGAAAAGTAGCAGTCAAGGCTAGAAGTAAAAGGTGGCACAGGAAGCAATAGAATGCTAGAGGCTCATATTTACAAACATGCAATGATGTTACACAAAATAAAGTAATAAGTTCCACCCACAAATTCAACAGTTGATAATTCCCACTAGGTCTGAGAGGAAGTTCTACATGCCCACAGCATGTATTCACACCCCATTTGTGTCTGGAAGTGAGCACTACTTTGCTTAAAGACAGAGAAGTTGAGCCCTGGGAAACTGCAGATGATATTGGCCTTTGGATAGCTGAGGGTCAGCACTGCCACCCATTCCTGCTTTGCATGCATGTCCTCCAAAGATCAGCACTTCCTGCAGTGAGATACCGAGGATGCCCCAGAAGTGCCATCATTCCCTCCCAAAGTGCTGCCTTCTTTTCTGACATCCCACCAAAGAGCATGGTGAAAATTAAATTTGGAAGATGACTCTGAACACTGGAGGGAAACACACCTCACAGATCCAGCACTGCTGCCTCTGCTGACCCAGATGTCCAGGAGCACCCCAAAGTGAACATCTAGTAACTATCTAAATACCAGAATGAAATATAGCCAGGCTGCAAAAATCCCTTACAAGACTACAGTTAAGGGACAAATGTCCACTTTGAGAGGAGAGAGATAGATTTGTCAGGAGGGGCTCCCTGTAGGAGTGGATCAACATGGTTGGCTTCCTCTTGTGCTTCTGGGAGAATGTACTGAGAGCAGAAAAGCCATTCTGACCTAGAAACCTAGAGACCATCCATGGACCTACTCAGGGAGCACAAAGGTGCTGTGCAATTTAAATAAAAATGATCCTGTATCAGTAGTTGATGTAACAATGGCAAGGAAAGATGATCCCTCATTCCATCAAGAGGTGAATTTAGGAATAAAATTGGAGACTATCTGACAGACGAGGCTATAGGAACACTCTGACACTCTTAAATTTGAGCCTCTTATTCTGTCCATCAGAGCACTGGGGAATGCTGCTCTGTAGGATGGTCTGCGACCATAGCCAAGAACTTTCTAGGTGTCACTGCTTGGCTGCTCCTTTAAGTGCAAACTATAGTCAACTTTGCTACAGTTTCCTCTCATACCCACCCCCAGAAATTCTTCTGCAACTCACTTTAACTGTCTGGCAAAAATCTAACCATTCAAAGTTCTCTCTTATCCAAAATTGCTCTCTGTTCATACACATCTTTGTTTCATTTCACTCATTTGCTTCCCTAAGTCTAGGCCCTGAAATGCTCCCCATGAAAATGGAGTTTATACAATGAGAAAAAAAGATATTTCATACCTTCCTGTAGCTTTCTCCTCAAAATAGAACCCAATTTTCCCTTGTATGGAATCTTTAACCCAGGAAAGCAATCCTGAACTGCTCATACCTTGTAACAGAAGTACTTGATATTGTAACAGTTGACCTCTGGTCATCCACTGATGTCCTTTTGCCTTTAAGACAGCTTGGGGGAGAGGAAAGTAGGGAAAAGTTTTTTAAAAAGTGAGAAAAGAAGGGGAAAATGGAAATAGAGAAATGAGAAGGGAGGAGGGGCTTAAAGGAGGATAGTTGGATGGGAAAAAAGAATCAATTTCTATCATATATAGGTGCAAATTTTCTATGATAAATGTGACCATTCTGTATATCTAAAAAGTGCCAAAAAATTTGACTGAAGGGAAAAAAAGACAGCTTGATCCTACAGAGGAACCAGTAGGACACTTTAGATTCGCCTGATCATAGGGAGGCCTGGAAGATACTTGGACTTCCTGGGTCCAGGTATTGACTCTCCCTTTCAGGATAGTACGTACCTCTGACCCTAGGCTCCAACCCTTTCTAAGATAGTTGGGACATTCTCTGTTCCAGTGGTCCTCTTTTTGACTATATGCACACTGGTTTCTATCTAATCTTTGCTTAGTAAAATGTTGAAGGCCTTGGGAGTTACTCTGAGCCAGCAGTTCAAGTAGCCAGAAGTTGTGTGTTTTTTTCTAACCTCTTATTTTTCTTTGCTTCTTCTGCCTGTCCCTGGTTATTATAGATTTTGAAAACCCTCTCCTCAATGGTCAGTGGGATTTGGAGTCCTGCCTCAAACTTTTGTAACATTCCCCTAATACCTGGAGAAAACTATGTTATAAAATCTATGGCCATTAGGACTTCTTGTCTTTTGACTATGATTTGGTGTTAGCGTAATTTCAGAAATTGCTCCAAGAAGCAATTTTAAAATAAAGCAGAAATTTACCTCCTTTTCTTGTGTTACTTCTTTGACCCTATCATAACTAACAGGCTTAACCAGACATCTTTCCATTCCTTCTGAAATACAAGTTATAAAATTCCCCATTCTACCCAACATCCCCAAAATTTTCTCTTATGTTTTCTTCTAGAAATTTTATGGTTTTTAGATTTTGCATTTAATTCTGTGATCCATTTTTGGGTTACTATTTGTACACAGTGTGAAGTCTAGCCCGAGAATGTTTTGTATGGGGTATGAGTTATGACCTGAGGATTACTTTTTGTATATGGTGTGAGGTATGACCCAAGGATTAGTTTTTGTGTATGGTGTGAGGTTTACTCTGAGGATTACATTTTTGTATATGATTTCCAGTAGTCCCAACACTATCTGCTGAAAAGTGTTTTTTTTTTTTTTTTTTTTTGTCTTTTTCCTTTTTACTGGTACCAGGGATCGAACTCACGGCTGCCTGCTTGCAAGGCAGGCGCTTATGCCGCTGAGCTAAATCCCCAGCCCCGAAAAGTGTTTTTTTTTTACAACATTGCCTGTTTACCATTGTAAAAAAATAAGTTGTATATTTATATTTAAATTTATTTATGGACTCACTATTCTGTTCCATTGATCTATGCAGTCATATCAAGCAGTTTTAATCTTCTGATTTATAATTCTTTTTCAGTTATTTGCTTTTTCAGGTCATTAGCATTTCTGTGTGAATCTTGAGACCCACCTGTTGGTTTTTACAATCAACATTTCTGCAATTTGAATTAGAGTTTCATTGACTGCATAGATAAACTTGAGGAGAATTGACATCTAAACATCACTGAAGCTTCCAACTCATGAAAAAAAAGCTAAACTCTTACATTGATTTGTCTTCATTAATTCCTCTCTGTAATTTTTGCAATTTCTAATGAATCTATCTTTTATATCTTCTGTCAGGTTTTCTCAGGCTTCTCATGGTTTGGTGTCATTGTAAATGTTTTTAACTTCTGCTTGTTCTTTGCTAATATGTTGTGATTTCATTTTAATCATTAAATTTCATAGTATAATGTTGTTCATACCATTTATTTACTTTTAATATTTACAGAATCTGAACTTTTGCCACCTCTCTTGTTACTGTATCTAACCTTCTGTAAGTATGAAACACATTTATAAAACTGTTTTAATGTCATTTAATGATTTTTTAGCAAAGTTTTAAGTTGCTATGAATTTCAGTTGATTTTCCTCATAATGGATCATATTTTCTGCTTCTTTGTGTGATTGGTAATCTTTGATGGTTGCCAGAAATTGTGAATTTTACCTCTTGGGTACCAAGATACCTTTTATTCTATAAATTAAATCTCTTTTAAACTTTGTTCTGAGATGCACATCAGTTACTTGGGAGCAGTCTGGTCCTTTATAATTTGTCTGATGAGCCCAGCCTCTGGGACCCTGAGGCAATACTCTACCACCCTGGTAAGAGACCCCCAACACCAGTCACCCCAACATACCCTTGGGATGGAGCTGGGAGGAGGTCAGTGTGACAGGGTCTGCAGACTGTGGGCTCACCTAGGGACTTGCCAAGCAAGTATGAATGGAAGGCTGCACTCAAGTGAGGCCTGAGGAGGGGAGTCTGAGCCATGGTGCCCTAGAAAGTGGGGAGCAGGGCAGGAGCCCTGAGGGCGAGCAAGTAGGGTACTGAACTTGAATAGGTTGGTGTCCCACACTTCCCAACACTCACTCAAGTACACTCACATACACTAAACATACTCCTCCTCACACTTGCCCAAACACAAAAGCACACATAGTCACTAACACACAATCAGACACCCACATACACATTGAACACTTATGCCCTCACTGGAACATTCATGCAAACACAGATTCACATCTGCACTCACACACATGCTTTCATGGGGCCTGTTTTTGCCTTCAAGCTCCAGGGAAGTCTCAATAGAAGATAGGTGGTAGCACTGTCCCCATGGCAAATGAGGAAACTGAGGCTGGAGAGAGGAACCTCCTGAGAGCACAAGAGAACTTGGCAGGCTCAGAGCTTGAGGTCAGCCTTAGACACCCCCCGGCCAACACCTGCCCAAATTACAACACGGCCTGGGCACAGCTAGCACCTCAATATGCTCTGATGGGGATGGGGGTACTGTTCCTGGGAGAGGCCAGACAGAGGCAGTGGGTAGCCAAGGCACAGGGCAATCAGCAGAGGCCAGGCCTAGGGGTACAGCTTACCAAAGCCACGGCCCATTCACTTCTTCCAGGTCCAGGCCAAACTCTGCTTGGTATGGCCTTATCTGCCCCTTTGGTTCACTCCATTTTATTTTCAGCCACAGATTTGCCTTTTTCCTCTGGAGGCCTGTCCTGAGGAGGACTGAGCGTGCTGCTAGTCTAGAGGTCACTGTCCCTTCCTTGCCCCCAGACAGGAGAGAGTTGTAGGTTACTCAGGAGATGAATGAATGAATAAGGCTGGTGTTACGGATTGAGAACTGGTGGTCAACTTAATGCCAGCTGGATTACATCAGCATGCATTGAGCGAAGATGCTCCACCTGAGGAGGGTTGCCAGGATAAACAGGTGGAGAAGAAGGGAGGTGTTAAGAGGGATTGAGGTGTTAAGGAGGCATTGTGGGTTCTCCTACGAGTTGCTGTCTGAGCTGTTGGTTCTCCTGGAAAAGCTTTGGTCTCACATCAAGCATTGCTTCCTGGCTCCGGAGGGGAAGGCATGTGCTGCTTGGTCTCCAGGATGTACTCGTCACGCTGCTTTCTGGCACGTACCCGACTGTGCTCGTCAGAGGAGGAGCTTGGAGCCTCCGTGTCGCTGAGGATGGCTGTGGTGCCTTTCAGGATAGCCCTGGTCTTTGTTGTGAGTGTAACTTCTCGGCTCCAGCATAGAACCCTCATCCCACTAGCACAGCTCCTTCATCCTGCTGGCATAGACTTTCTGGCTTCCACCGCTGACCCTTGGGTCTTCCCGGCACAGATCTGTAAAAGACTGGCGTGAGTCCTTCTTGTGGGCTCTGGACTTCCAGTTGGACTCGTGAGAGGCATTGTCCCTGAGCTCTGGGTTTTTATCTGGACTCATGTGGGACATGTGCTGTGGGGTTTAGGCCCTTGACTAAATAATCTATGTCTTTGGTGTTGTAGATAGATTTCCTGCATTTTCCTGTGTTAACTCCCGGTGACCTTTATAAAAATATTATAAACTCCATGTCCTAATCCTAGTTGTTCTCTGTGTACAACCTCTGACTACAACAGCTGGGGTGAAATCCTTGGTCCCTGGAATCCCATGGTGACCTGAGCCTGTCATCTCTCTGATCCACTGAGTCCCTCTGCTGCATGTGCAGGACCCATGGGCCTGGACACCCAGGCATCTGGACAGGTTGGCAGGAATGCTGCTTCCCAGTCACATAGGCTCAGTACTGCAGCTCCCTCCCTTTCCTGAGTGATGCCTGAATCAGGCCCTGCCAGCATACAAGAGTTCAGGATGAGGTATAGGAAGAAGGGAGCCCAGATCAGGGTCACTCAACTGACCAAATTCTCCAGGTTCCCCAACCCTTGGCTCCTGAGAAGATTCAGAGTCCTCTGTATCTCAGGCCTGAGGCAGTACCTGAGTTCATAATGCACAGGGACTGAGGTTTTGGAGCTCAGATGGGATGAAGTGAATCAGCCTCTGAGACCAATGTCCTCCTGTTCAGACCTGTGTGGGGACAAGGGGACTCCATGCCCCAAGCTGAATTCCTCCCTGGCGAGTGATCATTGGGAGAAGCAATAGGTGCCAAAACAGGGGACTGAATCTTCAAGAACAGAAGCTGCAACTCCTTTATGGCATTAGGTAACCCCAGCTAAGATGGGGTTACCATGGGGATGCCATGCAGGGATCTGGGCACAATATCTCATCCACTATGGTGTCTGTGCATAAGGGTCCAGAGTGTGACTCTGCCCAGTGGGGAAAGGAAGGGACTCACAAAGTGTGTACCACCCATCTGATGCCTGAGTGACAGCAGGGGGAAGCCAACTACAGCCACAGGGTCAACTTCAGAGCAAACACTGCCCTAAACCAGCTCTAGGAAGCACCTGTGACAGTTGTGTATTTGTGTGTTGTGTGTGTTTCCTTTGGGAGCTGTGGCTCTCAGCCAGCCCCCAGGTCAGGCAGCCTCTTGGGCTCCCATAGTTAAACTGTACCTCACATCTGCCTTTTGGGTTGCGGCTGCCCATCTAAATGACCGCGTACCCATGCAGCAAGAGAAGTGTCCAGTTGATGTCTCCTGAGGCTGGGTAGGGGATGCTGGGCAGGTCCAACCTCAGAATGGCTCCTGGTCATTTTGTCTATGGCTTGGTATCCTCTTGGCCCTTCATGGGAAGCCATCAGGCCTGGATGTTCCGAGCAAAGTAGGGTAGTAGGGAGGGACAAAGCAGCTGACCCTTTCCTCTGGGCACCCACCATCAGTGCAGGGCAGAGGATAGGAAGGAGCAGGGAAGGTTGGAGCTCTGGGCTGGGTCAACCCTAAGACCTTCTCTCAGGGACATTCTCTGGGGTGTAGGGAGGACAGGATCAGCTGGAGGCTGCCCTCAGTCTCCACTGACCTGTTATACTGCGAGGGGTTCAGCAGGGCCAGCCACGTGGAGGTGGCCAGGTATCAGTGAAGCAGAAGATCTAGGCTTTGGGTTCCTACCTTTTAGGTGGGAGTGGTCAAGGCAGGGTGGCCATGGCCACAGCATCTGAGGCACTGGCCAGACTCTCTCCTTAGGACTGTGCTGGAAGGTAGCAGAGGTGGTGAGCTCCCTGTAGGTCAAGCAAGCATCATTTGGGTGTGTTGCAGTGGGACCTTTAGGGAGACCAGGACCAGAAAAAATACTGTCCACAGCACCAGAACCAGTTCTCTGTAAGTTACCCTGAGTCAGCAGCAGGCCACAAGCTGTGTCTTCATTGGCTTCATCTTATTCTTGCCTCCTAAAAGGGCTGCCCTGAGTACCATTTGTTGATTGACTACTGAGTACATTTGACTTCTAGGCCTTCAGCAATCCCTTCCTTGAAGGGACCTCCCAGGAAACAAAGGCTCCTGCTCCCAGCCTCACTGGCATTAACTTTCTTTCCCATAACAGAAACCCCTCAGAAAGTTTGGATTGTTTTTCTAAGTATTTCTCCATAAGGTGTCAGTATGTCTTTAGCTAATCTGCCCACGTGATTTCAAGCTAGCTACCGCACGCAGGTGGGCAGCAGAGGCAGCCAGCAGAGGATCCTCAGCTCCCAGAAAGCTCAAATGGCCCTGGCCCTAGGTGGTCCTTTGCTTTGCTTGCAATAGGAGGGAACCCAGGATCCTGGGCCTAAGGTCAGTGTACCTTCCATTGCCCTTACCACTGGATCACCAGAACTGCGTCCAACCTTCCGAGCCTGCCCAACACCCAGGAAGCCAGAAGAAAGAGGTGGACAGCTGGCTCCACCTCCCTGGTGAGAACAGCACTGGGCAATGATGACCGGTACTCTAGACTGGCTGTGGTGACAGTCAAGACACCGTCATCTGTCAGGCTCTGTGGGTTTCCGGGAGGCATTCAGTACTGGGCTGTTTGCTTTCCCCAGGAGAAGCCCTAGAGTTTCAGGCCCCAGCCCTGGGGAGCTACAGAGGCCACAGAGGCCCTGCCTGTCCGCGGGTGGTAAGATTGTGATCCATACACTGCCTATGCCTAGTCACAGATGACAAATGGGTGATGGCTCTCCCTGGGTCTCTCTGGTCATTGACTAGCTGGGATGATGACACTCAAGATGAGCTTTTCAGGGATCTCCTCCACCACACTCTGACAGGTGAGGAATAGGAGTTAAGAGCTTCCCTAGTCCGTGGCCTTGGGACCACAGCTGTCCCTCCCAGGACCCACAATACCACTGGCAAGCTCCCTCTCCTCACCCAGACTCTTCCATTGAGACCCCCACCCCCACCCCACCTTGTAAGTTGGCACTGAAGCCCGAGGTTGGATGTTCCAAGTTCTGCCCACTCCAGCAGACCCATGGTCAGTTGGAGGCCTCTTGTAGCCCTCTTTCCTTTCATTCTGAGGCCTGGTACTCAGGTACGGCCTTGATTATACTCTCTCAGTTGGGATCTGTCCTATGTGCAGGCCAGCAGGGATCTTGACAAGGGTCCAGAGCAAACTGGAGGGCTATGGGGATCAGGGGACTCTCTCTGATACTCCATCTTCCTTTGTGTTTGGGAATGAGGTTCTAGCTACCAACCCCATAAAGTGCACCATCTGGGGGCTTTGGGTACCAGTCCCCACTCTGCTCTGACCACAATTCATGGAACTGCTGCTTCCGGGCAGAGGAGGAAAGTGTGGGTTGGGGCTGTCTAGGAGAGAAGACAGATTCCCCCAGGAGGCCTCCCTCCATTACCCTGCATCTAGAAACCACTAAGAAGAGGTTAAGCCCACCTGCTCCCACCCACATTCTGTTCTTGGTTGCAATGGAGACAAAGGGGCAAGGGTGACTGCTTGACCCATTGAGGCAACGCACTGCAGGGTAACCAGGCTGCCACTGAAAATGGTAAGGTATAAAGTCCGGTAAAGGGGGTCCTGGTCTGTAGGACAGACACACAATCTTTGGGATGCCCATTTTCCAGGGCCAGATGCTGCCATATATTTGGGGGAGAAATCGAATTAGGACTGGCTGTTCCCAAACTTGCTGGAGAACTGCAGTGTGACCTGCCCAAGGCTGCAGTCTGGCTCTGCCAAAGCTCAAAGGGAATAGATTGTGTTCCTCCCTACAGGGGTCAGGTCCCTGTTCACCCAGCTTCTGCCCATCATTTATTTCACTGAACATCCAAAGGTAGGGTTCTGTCTCAAACACGACACGACATGACACGACACGACGCGACGCGACACGACACGACACGACATGACACGACACAATACAATACAATGCAATGCAATAGCCAGGAGATGTGGCGTGGTGGTAGATTACCTGCCTAGCATGTGTGAGACCCCGGGTTTGAGCCTCAGCTCTGCAAATAAAACTAAGCAACCAAAAAACCTGAGTGACCATTAAACCCAGCTGTCCAAACTCCCAAGTACGTCTCCAAGAGGAATAGACATCTGTACGTAACTGCCACACATCTTGGGTATCCAAAGCATGCTGGTCGCCATAGCCCCAAATAAGAACAATTCACATGTCCATGAGCTAGTGAATAGGTAACCCAGATGTGGCCTACTCATGGAATGGGATATTACTCAGCCATAAAAGTAAGAGTTCTAACAGCATGAGTGGATTTCCAGGGCATCATGCTCAGTAAAGGATTTGGTCACAAAAAAACAAACTCTGCACGATTCCATTCATAAGAGTCCCTAGAGTGGTCAGATCCATAGGGTCGGAAAGTAGCATGGTGGTTCCAGGGGCTAGAAAGGGAAATGAGAATCAGTGTCTAATCGGGACAGGGTTTCAGTTTGGTGGAATAGGGAAGCTCTGGTGTTGGTGGCTGCATGACAGTGTGAATGTGCTAAATGCCCCTGAACTGTGCACTTAAATGTGGTTGCGACGATAAATTTTATGTCATGTGTATCTCACCCCAATAAAAAAAGATTAAATCCACTTTGTCTTAATCCATTTTTAGATTATCGTGGAGATATCTGGCCCTAAGTGGGACAGTTTGTGCAGTTAGAAAAGCTTATGATTGTTTAAGCAAATAGCAGAGCTGTTTATTCTGTCGAGCTGTGGGAAAATCCTTTAATGTCTTGTTTGTTGTATTTAAAAGTGGAGATTATACACCATCACTGCACAGACCACACACTCCATTAGGCTGCACTTAGATATGAGGTTCCGAGCTTTGATGGGCTCCTCCAGATGGCGATGGCACACGAGCCATTGCCCATTTCAACCCGCAGCCTTGCTGGAGCACACACCTCCATGTCCTCAGTGCACAGTTAAGGCTACAACCAAGGGCCAGCAAAGACCTCGAAACTGTGAAATGCTCTCTGCCTAGTACAGTAAGTTTGTTTTCCCCTCATCTACACAGATTGATAGTCCAGTGTTGCTAGATATCCACTTGAAGTATGATGACTTTCTCCTCTAACCTGCAATTAAAACGGAAACAAAGCAAGCTCAATTAATTTTTTTAAAATCAAAATATTTGATCTCAAAAAAAATGACCTCTAAGACCTGTGATGAGGCACATATCTGTGTTGCAAGCGAGAGACTCATGATAGCACAAGGGCTGTTAAGTCTGAGAGGATTTTAGATCCCTAAGAGACCTCGGAAG